GCGCCGGCGGCTGCTCGGCAGGTTTAGGTGCCGGCAGCCTCTCGGCATATTTGGTGAGCGCTGCGGCAGCCTCTCGGCAGATTTGGTGAACGCTGCGGCAGCCTCTCGGCAGATTTGTTCAGCGCGCGGCCCTCATCTGCCGGAGAGATCGGCCGACCGCCGCTGACGTCAGCAGGCCGAGTGCTGACTGCTGACGCGGCAACTGGCCGCTCGCCGGATGTGCTGATTGCCCACATATTGAGCCAGCGTCGACACTAAGCCCGCGGATCAGCGTGGCCTTTGTCGGTTGGCGGGTTATATATGGACTATTCGGACACGTAACTATGTTGGGAAGCTGTGGTAGGGTGCCGATTGGCGGCCGGCTGTCACATCTCCCTGTATCTTCCCATCGTTTTCGTAGTCTGGCCCAGAGAGAACTGATGTCAGGGGCCATACGCCATACGGTCAGCATCGAATGAGTTTAACAGAAGATAAACTTTTCGTTGGCTGTTTACCTTATAAGCGTACTGTTTTGACTGCCGTTAAGTTGAAGCAGGCGACATGACATAAAAAAGTTCAAAATAATGTAGCGACGTAAGTTGTAATCGATCAGCGCTCACTGGCTTCTGAGTCTGCCGACTGAGCCATCAGCTCTCCGTATGTTCCCCTGACCGCTCCGCCCCCCCCCCCCCGGTTGACCTTGGACCGGGCGACCTTCTCGGGCCGTCTGACCCGGTTCGCCGTGTTCCCGTGCGGTCGTCCCGCGCTCCGCTCGCTCACGCAGTCGGCTCGCTCTCCTGTGCGTGAGCCGCGCCTGATAGCGGGCTGCGCGCCGCCATTGTTTCACTGGAGGGCCGCCGACGCTCCTCCTTTGTGGCCGGTGACGCGCGTCCTCGCATACGGGCCGCCCTAATTCGTGGATGCGTCTGCCACATTCTAATAACCGCCGCTTTGTTTCGGATGGCGCGTGCTTAGGTTGACAGGCAGAGATGGCGCCCTGCCTTTTGAACGTCACTGAATGTTAATAGCTGTCAAAGAGTTGGGTGGCGGGAAATGAACAGAGTGAAAGTAAATTTAGCTGTCGAAGAGCTCTTTTAATTTGTGGCATATTTTCCTCGCAAGTCACAAAACATTATTGTAGTCTCAAATCTGAACGCACTCATAGGTAGCCCTAGCGTGCCCTAACTATTAGACCAAACCTCGCAAACATTTTAGTTTTCCTCTCCATTGTGCGATATTGTTTGCGGCTTTGCGTAGCCGTACTGCAGAGGCGGGGCTTCCCAAGTCCCATGTGGCTGCAACAAAGTCACTTGTAATCGACGATGATCAGAAGAACGGTACTGCTGGACATCCCTGGATGAAAGTGTGGGCCTCCCCAGATGAACTGGGCGGGACACCCTACGTCATGGGCTACTTGGGGTTGGATGCGATGACTGACAGTGTCATCGTGACTGGGTCGTTATTACTGGCCAAGTGAGCCTACGGACTACCTGCCTGTTGGCGGGGCGTCATTCTGTCGGCATTCTGCCATTGTTTTGACCAGCAGTCGGGTACGGAGTGGAGTGCCGGTTGTTGCCTGCACGGAGAGGCTGTCATAATACGGCTCTGCGTCGCTGTCTCGGTAACCACTGGCACCTGGCTAGCCGGGGACCGCTGTGGCGCCGCTCCCGGCTCCTGGAAACCCAGGAAAAAGGTGCGCGCTGGCCTTCTGAGCCAGCGATCAGCTGACTAGCCGACTGCGGCGGCGGAGACCCGTTCTCAGCGTTCTCAGGGCTCGTTTACGGACAACGGTATCCGAGACAAAGCGACAAGGGCTGGCACGGCATGGGAGAGCGGGATTTTGGCCATGGAATATCGAGCTGAACCTAATGGGCTCGGGCGGAGTTTCGAAAATGGTCTACCAGGCTTTGAGGCTGATGAGGATTTCTTTTGCGAGATCACCACTGTGGTGATGGAATTTGAAATGGAAATGAACTCGCTGATGTGCGTATCCATTTTCAGCACGGCTTAAAATGGAGCCCGACGACCTGAATGTCCCCATAAATCGGGCCTGGGTGGCGGAATGAGGCGCCGCGGCGCGGAGGGCGCTGTTGAGAGCGGCGGACCGCGCTGGTGTGTCGGTCCCTGGACGGTCCACAGACCACTCTGGACCAGACGCAGTGCGGAGGGCGGATTGTGGAGCGCCGCCCTGGCCTTGGGCGGCGTGCGTCTCGGCGCGCGTGGTATGGCTGGGATGTGGAGTGGTCGCCGGTCCGAGGGACGACCACCGAGACGGACGAATGCCGAGCGGTCGAGATAGGTGGCCGCGTGACGTCGGTGGCCTGACGACGGCAGTCACGGTCAAGATTACCTTATTTCAAAGTAATGATAGGCAGCGGTCAATGCTGACCTTTGGCCAATCTGGTTCACCCTCTAATTCCCATGCATACCAGGTAATAGATTGATGAGCAAAGGACATCATGGCGATGAAATAAATATTTAACAAATCTTCTCTCACTAATTCTAGTCCGGAGCATCTAACCTGACCTGACCTGACCTGCTGGGAGGGGAGGGTGGTGGGTGGCCCGGTGGTGACGCGCCCGCCGCCGCCGCTCTGTCTCTAGGAAGGTATGGCCGCACCGGCGCCGTACGGGGCCGACGAGCCACAGCCGGCGGTCGTGCTGCGGCGCAACATGGCCCGCTCAGTGAGCGACTCGGGCGGCCGTCGCCAGCGGCCCCTCTCACTGCCGCTGGCCTCAATGCAGCTGCAGGTAGGTTTAGTGGTGCGCACCGCGGAGTCGACAGCTGCACCCTCCCTGCATCGCCGGAAACCGAGACCCAAACAATCGACCCAGCGCCACCCTCTAACTCAGCCCTAGTTCCGCTCACCCGTCTTGTGAGGTGTGATTTGTAGCTGAGTTTCTCGAGAAAGCACTTCCCCAGCCCCGAGAAAGTTTTTCCTGCATTTTATGGTGTCTTGCACATTAGGGTCTTCATTCCAATTTGGGCTCACCCTTGTAACGATGCTTGTAAACAAGTCTCGCAAGAGACTTGTTTACTTGTTACGAAGCAGACCCGTCGTTTTCGTTGTCCAACTTAATTCTCCCTTCTAATGCCGCCCGAACAACCCTTTTTGTGCCGTAGCTCTTTCCCCCTCCCGCCTCATTTTCCCCGCCTGTCTGGCAACTGGACCGGCTAGAGCATAGGACACAGTATTGCACTCGGCGAAAGGCCCGTTCCATACCGTGCTGTGTTAGCCCGCGCTCGGCAACTGGCAGGTGCCGTGGGCTAGCCGCTCGCCCGGCGGCTGGCTGGCGCCGTGGGCTAGCCCTCGCCCGGCGGCTGGCGGCGTTGCACCACCGAATGGGCTGTGCGGTGGCGTTCCGTGCCGTTAAACCGCTGCGGCCGGCGGCTGTGACGAATGGCCTTGTTTTGATGCCGCGAGAGGAGAGATCTCTGGCCGAACGGCCCACCCCCGGGCCAGCTGGCAGCTGACGCAGCTGGCCCGGCCAGCGGTTTTGACATCGCTACTCCTCTGACTCGCGCGGACGGACTGACGCTGACTGACACACACATCGGTTGACACTGGCTGGCAGATACAGAAACTGACAGATCCCGATTGATGTGCTGATATGATGTGCTATTGTTCGAATTCGTTCTGTGTTGAGACACATTTTATGTCGTAATACGTTCGAATTACATGCATTGTTTTAGTGGATATGATCAGTGATCAGTCGTGATCTTTGATGGAAGTCGTCATATGTGGTTCCGCCGGGTGTCGTTCATGCCAGCGGTGGTCCTGTCTGTGTCAATCGTTTGTATCTACAGTGATGCTGTCTGACACATTTGTCAAACCGTGGTGCCGCCCTTGTCGTTCAGTGGATGTTATAGTTGTTCTCTGTGTGATGTGTCTAATACCTACCAGTAAAACGCCTTTTGGGCGGAGAACGAGCGAGCGAGATAGTGAGCCCTGCACGTGCGGAAGGGTGAGAGGGTACTTCCAACGGGCTTGTGCAAAGCGCCCTTCTAACCGGTCGCTAGCGGTGTGCCAAATTTGAACGCAATCGGCCTAGCCGTTCCTGAGATCTGGAAGCGGCATTCTGCACGTGCGCACGTGCAAACGGGGTCCAAAATGACTTTTGCACGGCACTCTACTAACCGGTCCCCAACCGTGTACCAAATTTGAGCGCAATCGGCCCAGCCGTTCTCGAGATCTGGAAACGCCCCCTGCACGTGCGCACGTGCAGTAGCACCCTAACCGCAACACATGGGAATGCATTGCCTGGTGGGTGCCTACCTGTATGCCAAGTTTCAGCGAAATCGCCCCAGTAATTACCGAGTTATTGAAATGGGAGCAAATTTGGCACCTCTTCTTTTTGCATTTTGCACGTGCAGTAGGGGTCACTCACATAGATCAAGGGTATCCGACCTTTGGTAGAAGGGATGAAGCTACCCTATAAAATTACCGCAAGACAATCGCCCAAGCGGCTGCTGAGATATGAGCCTCTCAAAATCACTACTTTTTCAGAACAGCTTGAACACCCTTGACTTTTCACGTGGCACGTGCCACGACAGTCACTGAGATGTATCAAAAGTAGTCAATTACGGGGTAGAAGGGATGGGGTTACCCAGCAAAAAAGACCGCAGGCCAATCGGTCCAGCGGTTGCTGAGATATAAGCCTCTCAAAAGCGTTACAGGCCGGGCCGGGCCGGGCCGGGCCGCTCATACTGAGATTTTTCCGTTATATTGAAAAGACTTCGCTTCGCTCGCTGCGCTCGCTCGCTCGTAATAATGCTGTTTTATTATTTGTCAGTCTCTGCGTCGTATACATATCTGAATGGATGCCGTCTAATGTAGGTACCCCGTCTGCATCATTCGTGATATTCTGTCAGGCGCTGCACTGTCTCGTCTGCATCAATGAGCGGCCGTCTCCTAATGTGCCCCGTCTCGGCCAGTCGTTCTGGCTGTCGATCTGTCACTGTGCGTTTCTCTGCTTCAATGAGCGGCTGCCGTCTGATGTTCCCCCTTTGGTCTTTCGCAGAAGGAGCTGAACATCAGTAAGCGCTCGTCGCGGGCCCACCGCCGCTCGGTTATCGTCACATCGTCACCGACACTGCCGAGATGTCACTCACCAATGCCAGGTAAGCATCGAATAGGGACGTATACCAAAGGCGAATTGTGATTAAGCATATTTTTAACGTTTTATGGCGACATAATTACTATTTTCTTCCTTCCCGGCCCCATGAAACTTTGTCTTCTCAAAGTTCATGATACGAAATAAATTCTTAGGTATTTTCTGTCTCCTCATATCTCTCCGTCACCCACTTCCACCCCCCCCCCCATCCTCCATTCCTCTCTCCCGTTCACCACCGATATCCCGCCGTGTTGTCATTCGGTCAACACCGCCCCGGAAAGTGGCCTCGGGTCGTGTTTGGTGTCAGATCTCTGATGATAGCTCCCCTCACACTCTCCCCACCCGCGCTGTTTGTTTGGGGATTGGGATAACGGTGGGAGAGAGCGGGACAACAATCGGAGCAGATGGCCGCGCCCGTGACGCCGCGATGTGCGCACATAGAGCGATTATAGCGGAGTATGACGCCAGATTATGCTCACCGACCGTTACCGCCTACTCGCATACTGGAATATGACAGCGGGATATACCCATCGTCAGCAAAGTCACTGGAATATGACGCTCGGATATACCCGCAGCAGTGGGTATCAGGAACGTTTAACAGCCTGGAAGAGTCAGCGCAGGCTGCCTTTCTACCAAAATCATTTTCCATAATTGCAAGCAAAAGCATTGCTCCGAAGCAGCATCCTCTTGTCATCCAATGTACTTTGTGACCTGGCTCTGTTCAGTGGTCAGCCCAACCCTCCCCGGCTCGGTTGCGTGGCCCTGACGTGGAAATAACGAGAGCGGATGTATCGCTCGCCGGTTGAGCCAGATAGCGGCCATCGATCCATCCATGACGACATAGCCATTTGGCCGGAACGACGCATCTCCAATCACGTGTCGCCCCGCCACGCCCCCGCCCCCGCCCACGGCTGTGACGTCAGCGGCCGTCGGCGCCAGCCGTGTGACGCCACGGTCCTTCATTGGGTGTGGGTGTGTGTGGGAGATGCACGTGTAAGTGCGAGCTGGTGGGTGGGCGTACGTGCGCGTGTGCGCGTGAAGGGTGTGCGTACGCGCGTGAGCGAGTGTCTATCGCTGTCTTCCCCTTTCAGTCCGTCTGTCTATCTGTGAAAGTCACTGACGGTCTGGCACATCGTGTTCACAGGCAGTCCCGTCGACAGCCCCAAGAATATGTCACCGAACCAGCACTTCGCGTTTGCCGCCGTGAAACGGTAAGTGCTCTGTGCCTAGTGTTACTGATATTGTGCAATCGCCCTGGCTGGACGGGTATCATGGGGCTCAGTCCTCTGTCAGGTCTATGACGAACGCGCTGAGTAGCTTTGATATCATCCGGTATAGTCGGGCGCCAGTAAACTCGCTCGCAGTCATCGCTAGCACCTAACTGGTTCCTAACTAGCGAAAAGGTCTCTTACTTTAGCTAGATCGCGTGAGCCTTTCCATCCGCCATAGTATGGCTGTCTTTTCCGGACCGCATTGGTCCAGTTCAGTCCGCTCTAGTCCGGTACGGACCAGTCCAGTCCGGTCCAGTCCTGTCCGGTTCAGTCTTGTCCGGTCCCGGACTCTCGTTATAAAACAGGCATACATAGACGGTCGGATAGTCTGGCATCAAGGCTCTATCCTCCACTAAAGCTGACCTATTAGCCTTCAGATATGTAATATATTTGCTTTGCTGAGTGATGAGAGCACTAGCAATAGGCATTAAGTTTGCACTCAGAATGCTGACAAGTGAATTAAGAGACTTGCCCCATATAAGGGACTTCCATTGGCTGAGTGATGGTAAATGCTCTTAGCGTAGTCTGCGCGTGTAGACGTATGTTTTCCATCATGCAGGCATGTAAATGGTACCAGTATAACGCCTTTTGGGGCGACTAACGGAGCGAGCGAGAGGGTGGGCCTTGCACGTGCGAAATTGCGAGGGGGTACCTCCAACTGACTTGTGCACGGCACCCTACTAACTGGTCTCTAGCGATGTGCCAAATTTGGGCACAATCGGCCCAGCCGTTCTCGAGATCTGGAAGCGGCACCCTGCACGTGCGCACGTGCAAAATGGTTCCCAACTGACTTGTGCACGGCACCCTACTAACCGGTCCCTAACTGTGTACCAAATTTGAGCGCAATCGGTCGAGCCGTTCTCGAGATTTGGAAACGACCCCTGCACGTGCGCACGTGCAGCAGCACCCCAACTCTGGCACATGGATGTGCATTGCCTAGTGGGTGCCTACCTACATGCCAACTTTCAGCGCAATCGGCCAAGTAGTTACCGAGATATTGCAACAATTACAAAAGTGACACCTCTTCGTTTTGCACGTGGCACGTGCATAAGGGGTTACCCACATGCATCGGGAATAGTCCAATACTTGGTAGAAGGAATGAAGCTACCCTACAAAAATTACCGCATGTAAATCGGTCAAGTGGTTGCTGAGATATAAGCCTCGCAAAAGCGTGACCACGGCCGGCCGGCCGCTCATACTCAGAAATTTCCGTTAATCTAAGGAAAGACTACGCTCGCTTCGCTCGCTCCGTAACTAAGCTATTTGATCTGACCGGTGGACGTCATGTGCTCTGGTAGGATGTTAGACGCTAGTGGTCAGAGTCTCAATCTATCCGGCGACCCGTGTGTGCTCCCCAAGGTCTCCTGTGTGAGCTCCCCTCTCTGACTGATGGCCCGTATGTGTTCTGACAGGACGGTGGACGGGCGGCGCTGGCCGGGTGCCGATGTGTGCTCCCCAGTGACGAGCGATCTGTGTGTGCTCGCTGTTCTGACCGGTGTTCGGTATGTTTTCTGACAGGACGGTGGACGGGCGGTGCTGGTCGGTGGCCGGTGTGTGCTCCCCAGTGACGAGCGATCTGTGTGTGCTCCCCTCTGACTGGTGTTCGGTATGTTTTCTGACAGGACGGTGGACGGGCGACGCTGGTCGGTGGCCTCCCTACCGTCGTCCGGGTACGGCACCACTCCCGGCAGCTCCAACGTCTCGGTGAGTTCGGCACGGCCGCAGAAACCACTCCTCGGGACCCCTTACACCTTACCGCAGTCCCATACGATGACTGACACCATCTCACAGTCCTTGACGGCCACTGTGAGTCCTGTCACCAGCTCACCTTCACACCGACCACAGTCACCACACCACCGCGCATTCGCAAACAGTCACTAATGTTACCCGAAATTACCCCACGGCAACTGATTCGACAGGGTCATTGACTGTAAACTCACCCAGTTTGGCCATCCGCTGACGCCGCCCTGTTCCCACGGAGTACGCCCCGTTTCTGCGTGCTCTGTGTTGTCCGCTGTGAGCGCAGCCAGTGAGTACGTTGTGATTACCTATTACTGACGGCTGCGTGTACTCCCCTGCGCCCCGGCAGTCTCAGTGCTCCTCCCAGGAGCGGCTGCACCAACTGCACTGCTGTGCCCAGCCTCCCCCTCCGCCGGCGCCGGTCACCGGAGACCTGGCGCGTCACTTTTCGTCCAACGAGTCCAACCCCAGCCTGGAGGAGGAGGGCCGCTCGTCGCCGCTGGTCCGGCCTCGCTCCCGGTCTCTTAGGTGAGTGTCGCCCTCTCCTCCTTGACACCTTGGTAGCTTAGTCAGGGTCCATGACTAGACCCTAGTCATGGATCCGGGACTCAATTAGTCTCGTGGTATGCTCTAGCAGCAATGGAGTGCTGTCTAATTTCGCCCCTGTCGGTGTGAGACCGTCCGGTGCCGACGGTGTATACCGCCACTCACCGCTCCTCCCCGGCCGTCCACAGCCTGGCCTGGCTCTGCGTTGCCACTCTCGAGTAAGCCTCGTCTCCACTATCGGCCGCTGTGCATTGCTTTGTCTATGACTGACTGGATGCCTGCTCTGTTGCTGTGCTGGCTTGCCCCCTTCCGCTCTACAACGCCGCGCCTGTGATCCCATTTTCCTGACTGGCATTTCCTTTCCTTTCCTGGCTTGCTGTCAGACAAGTGTATGCGGAATGAGCACCTACCATCCCAACTGGCCTCTGTCTAGTTTGAGAGAAATGGATGCGGATCTTGTTTATAAACCACTACGAGCAAATCATTCGATTTATTCCATTCCATTTCTTCCTGTCTGGTGAGGTAATGGAAATATGATATGTCGACTGGAATGGAAATCCCGCGAGCATTATATCTTATTTTGATGAGCATGTTGAACTCTGCGACGTTGATGGATGCCTACTCAGATAGGACTGCGATCGAGAGTATTTGGCTGAGCTTGGCAAAAAAAAAAAAAACACTGGTAGTGGCTCCGAATGTGTCGTATTGCTACGATTCCAGGATAGGGTGGGTCGGTCACTAATCGACATAACGGCTAAAACTGACTGGCGTGGAATGTGGATGCTGAAGGGCCAGTGGAATTTCATGTAGTGAAAGCTACACTGGTCGGTTAGCAGATGAGCCAGTACCGGGCTTTAGTATCGCATCATCACAGGGTATAATGTATCAGACAGGATATATGGCGTGTTCAGACTTACGAAGTCCGTGGGAAGCATGCTTATCATTTTTATAAGGAAGAAGGCTTCAGCGAAGTCTGGGATAGAGTGGGTTTATCGGTTCCAGTGAAGATAATGCAATGAGAAGCGCTTGCGTCATATGCCCTGGGTTTTATGATATTGTGTATTCGGACAGTGTTTATTTTACGGCTGGTACAGTGTTTTGTTCGCATCTGTTGCGTATGATATAAATTTATTGTTTGGACGGTGTACTTTGTTCTTTGAAAGAACTTGTCTATGGAGGATATGGTTCCAGTCACGGGGGTCAACGCGCTGTTGTCTGGTGGACGTCCCCTGTTATCGACTGCGTCTCTTTCCTTCCGCCCTGCTGTCCCCACTCGGTTCTAAAGTTCAGTCCGATGAATTGCTTCCCGGTGTTTTCACTGTTCACTGTGAGCGGTTCCGGCAGTAGGGATGGCTGGGTGCAGGGTAGCCGTGTGGGTGCACTGAGCACCACAGCGGGTTCCTCTTAACCAGCGGTGGACGGTCAGACGGAACTGGGGCGGAATTCGAGGCTGAAATGTCCCACTGAAAAGACCAAACCTGACCTGTTTGAACGTACAGAGTCGCAGACCAGACCAGACCAGACCAGACCGATTATCTGTCTTATCGTACAGACCAGAGCAGGCAGGCCTTCTGTTTCGTAGTGCTCTAGAGACCAGACTGACTTGTCTACCGTATACATCCGCCTTGACTCTCTTTCGACTGTCACTCCGTTTCACTGTACTGGCCTGGCTAAACCGACCCTTTGTCCTTCTATGTCGGACCTAACCAGCCGTCTACCCCACTGTAAAACTAAAGACCAAACCCGCTTGGTCCCGGCTGTCTCCGGAAGGGTGTTTCGCCAAGCAGTTACGAGCTGGCCTGATGCCGAGTTTAACGACTTTCTCCACCTCTGACGGCCTAAGCCGGCCGGTCCCTGTGAAATGTTTGACGAGTTGGTCGTCTATTACTGCGCCCAGTTTTATCGCACACTCGCTGAAATGTTGTCCGGGCAGTGGAAATGTGGTGTCGCAGAAACTTTTCGACGTGTTCGTAACTTTCATGGATGTTATCACAGTTTCGGTGATGTGTCATGCATTTGTTATATTTTGTTTGACTGTTAGGAGTGCTGCTTAATAGCGTAGTTTAAATGTAAATGCATACTTGTATATGTTTTACTGCTACATTGTTGCATACTTGTATAATAGTCTTTGGAAACATTTTTAGATTGTAGTAGAAATGGAAGTACTTCAAGTTGTAGCCTCAATAGAAGTGCATTGATTGATAAACCCACCACAAAACTACCTATTCGTTCAATATACCCTTCGATGTAATTACCCCTTCGTTTGATGTAACCTGAAAGGTATAATTACTCACAAAGTCTTCTCTTGACGGCAGCTGTTTTAGTTCGACTGTTCAGTGTCTGCGCTAACTTGGAGGCGATCGTGTAACGTAGCTGATCAGAGCACCGGCACCAGCCGGTGCCGTAGGAAGATGCGTATTCTCTTCTTGTTAGTACGCAATATTTCAAACGATTACTGAGCATGGACGTTAAAAGAGAAATAGTCTTGAGCTTTTTTCGCTATTGACATGAACAAGTTTTCATATAACGTTAAAATGTATTCAGCCTTCTATCCGCTTTAGTTTGTATCACCCTAAGCCTCGGCCTGTTTGAGTCTGCCTCGCGTGTAACGCCGCTCTGTATTTGTGTTTATTTGGCTTGTAACGTATGAGCCAGCTGCTCCCAGTCATTTCCAACCCATAGAGATTCCTGGGAGCGTGCCCCGTTATCTGACGTGTCCCGACTGTTTCGCGGTGTTTCAGGCAGTGTGTCTTCGGGCAGGGACCCCGGACTTGTGTACTTCTGCCTTCTTCTAACCTTCGCCTCCCCGTCTGTTGTTTCAGTTCACCCATGCGCACGCCTCTGATTGACAATGACGTGGTGATCATGAACACACTCTACAAGGAGCGCTTCCCCAAGGTAAGACGAGCCGCGGTGGTAGCGAGGCTGACCTGGGTGTGATACTGGGTCTGGGTCCGACCAAAAGTCTGATATTGGGTCTGTGTCTGACATGAGATCTGATAATGGGCCTGGATTTGTTTTAGGTCAGATATTGCCGCAGGTCTGATACTGGGTCTGGGTCTGTCTTTGATCTGAGTTCCTTAGTTATGATTCCGGGTCCGTCATGGGTTTAATTTCTGCCCTCATTGGTCATATCACGATGCTGCCAAAGCTATAGCTGCGACCTTCATTCCATCCACTGGCCTCTGCCGAGCCAACCCAGGCGCCAGCGGGTCGCAGTTCAGGCTAATGACGTCATAGCTCAGCGAGCCGTCGGAGCCAACTGCTGACGATCCGTCCGCCCCGAAATTGATGACGTCACTCGCAGCGCTGATGCGGAAAACCATTCTGCCAGCTGCAAGGGACAAACGATTCATCACCGCTAGCGAGGCTGATTGTGTTCCTGTGCTGGTTATTTATAGCTGCTTTACCCTATCGGGAGACTTTTCCTTTGACCTTTGATATAGATTTATTCCTTAGCTTCGCCTCTGCGTGGCAAGTCCCTTTCTGAGTTATGCAGAACATTATGTGTCCTGCCAAGCTTCGTTATTTTTAGATCTAACTTAACCAGACCTGGTTTGACCTTACCTGACGCGACTTTGTTAGGCATTATACGCCGCCACCTAGCGTGCTTTGCTCTGCCCTGCTCTGACCTCTGACCTTTCGTGCCCCCAGGCGACGCAGCAGATGGAGGACCGTCTTCAGAAGCTAATTGAGGAGAACGAGGTGACTGATTTGGAGACGGAAGACTCGTCACCCTCGGCGGTGGCCATCCTCCGCTTCGTGCGGCATCAGGTACGTGCTGGCCCGCTGGCTCTCATGGTCATGGCTGATAGCGCTGGCCCATCGCTCTGTTCCTGTGGCCCACGGGCAGACACTGGGCTAACGCAGTCTGGTATTGCTTCGAACGATGGAAAGCGAGACGCAAGATACGGATCATCAGGGTAGCTCGGATGAGGATGTGAAAGCCGATGAACATCACTTGCGATGATATCCGTAAAATTATGGAGTTTCTGGTCTTCTGGTGCATTGTGGTTCGAACCATGCTAACTTACAACAGTTTGAGGCCACTTTGGATAGCAGTTGTGTCCTGTCCGAGTGAAGTGCATTTGCGTGTTGGCTGACATCTGTGTGCTTTGCCAGGTGATGGAAATGGTTCGCGACTGTCTGAGCAAGTCTCAGGAGCGGTGTATCACAAGTCGCTACTTTTACGACCTCTCAGAGAACCTGGAGAAGTTGCTCAATGAGGTAAGTGTTGAGCGATGAGCCTTGAGAGCTTATGTGTGTTATGGAACTGCCACTTCCTAGGGAACCCCCTGCATTGTGTCTTTGTACCAATTGATGAGTTGTACAACCACTGAACGGTATTTTTCTACAATGCGTATCAGTAGAGTATTCCCCGTACCGACCATAGGCCACGCACTGACCGACCCTCCTCGCCCCTCAGACCCGGGAGAAGTCAGCCGAGGCGGCCCGCCGGGTGAGCTCTCTGGTCCGTCGCCTCCTTCTCATCATCTCTCGGCCGGCGCGGCTACTCGAGTGTCTGGAGTTCGACCCGGAGGAGTTCTACCACCTTCTGGAGCGGGCCGAGGGACAGGCGCGCTCCTGTCAGGGTATCACTACCGATATACCGCAGTACATCGTCAGCAAACTGGGCCTGAAGCGCGACCCGCTGGCAGGTGAGGACGGAGAGACCATGGTGGACAGTAACTGTGACCATGGTCACAGTTATCTTGGACAGGGCAGACACTCCTTGGGTTGGAGAATCAGAGGTGAACGGTGAACAGAGGGTGCTGGTACGGTAGAACCTTAATTAGACATTTCCCTTAGTGCCTGCCAAAGTTCCTATGTTTCCATGTTGACACCGTCTTACCGTCCTATGTTTCTATGTTGACACCATTTTACAAGCGGCTTGCGAAACAGTCGCGTGCTGGCCATTTGTAACCCATTTTCTCTATGTGACGAGCCGGCTTGTTAAGGGTCCCATAAGTGCCGCCACTCCGTCTATTGATTTTCTTCCAGCTGTACAATACCTTAGAAGCGATGCCGTGTCGCACTGAGGCTTACGTTGGCATCTCTCCCATGTTTCAGAGCTGACCGAAGACTTAGTACAAATGGAGGAGGAGGCGTCGGCGTCCGCTCCGCCGCAGGCCTCCACTCCTAAGAAGGCCGACGGAGAGGACGCCAAACCGATGCGGAGGACTGTGCACAAGGTGGGTTGAACTGCTGGTCACTGCCGAGCCGGCTGCTGGCTTGTCAGCTACCTCTCTATCGACTAGGCTGGTGTTGATTGGTACTGTAGGAGCTAGTTTTCTCAGCGCTCCCGGGATTGTGCCCCAGGGACACCAACTCCGTTCCGCCTGATGGTGTGTCTGGGATGTGATCCCAGGGGAACCCGCTCCAGCTGACCTTGTGTCTATTGTCTGTTGCTCTGGAACGACCTGTCTGTATGTCTGTGTGTCTGTGGTGGGCGTCCCTGGTGTGGAAGTCGTCCCCGTCTGATCGTGTATATGTGGTGTACTCTCCTGGGACCTGAGCCTGTCTGACTTTATGTATTGTATACGCCCTTTAGATGATTCGTCTATCTGTGTTTGTGTGTGTGTGTGTGTTTTTTTTTTTTTAGTCGCTTTCCCTGACACAGCACCCCACCGACAACCAATTTCGCTCCACCAGGTGGCCAGCGAGGACGACTACGAGCGTGTAAAGCTGATCTCGAACGGCGCGTATGGCGCCGTCTACCTAGTACGGCAGCGCGGTACGCGACAGCGCTTCGCCCTGAAGCGGATCAGCAAGCAGAACGTGGTGCTGCGGAACCAGATGGAGCAGGTGCTGGCCGAGCGAGACATCATGAGCTTCACCGACAACCCCTTCGTCGTCAGCATGTACTGCAGCTTTGAGACCAAGGTGAGTGCCTGGGAGAGCGAAGTCCCGCCGGATGGACTTCGGGATTAAATACAGTGTAATATTCTCTCTCAGGTGCAGGCTATTTCAACACAATTACTTATTCAAATAAATTTTACATACATATTATGCCTACGTATTGTCGCGGAAGCGCAATTTTATTTTAAAGCTTCCTTCCAGTATAATGGAATGAATATAAGTGCGATTTCACATTGCTCGCCTGTGGCACGGAGCTGCACTGCTATTGCGTTCTCCTTCCGTCCGTTTCCAGCGGCACCTGTGTATGGTAATGGAGTACGTTGAGGGCGGCGACTGCGCCTGCCTGCTGAAAAACATCGGTATCTTGCCCGCCGACATGGCGCGACTCTACTTCGCCGAAACTGTGCTGGCTGTCGAATACCTCCACAGCTTTGGCATCGTACACCGTGATCTAAAGCCGGATAATTTACTCATTACCAGCATGGGACACATCAAGCTGACCGACTTTGGGCTCAGCAAGATGGGCCTCATGTCACTGGCCACGAATTTGTACGAGGGGTATATCGACAAAGAGACGAAGCAGTTCTCGGATAAACAGGTAAGCCAAGCAGCCGTCCAGTGCTTGCCGTAATGGTTCTCCATATTCTAACGTAGCTAGAGACGTTATGGGCCTGCCCTCAGCTGTTCTAAATGTGGGTCCATTTTGACTTACTCGCTTATCGTCGTGACTGGCGTGGTCATCAACCTTCTTTTGAAACATACCATGTGAATTGTGATGTAGCTGGTTCATCGCGAGACAAACCAGCTATGTAGCTCATCGGCCATATCTCATCGGCCATGTAGGTTAGCCGATGAGATATAGCCATGGGTCATGACAAGTGAGATGTGACGTTTGACCTGTATTGTGACCGTGACTTTGACCTGACCTCTGTGACCTCCAGGTGTTTGGCACGCCCGAGTATATCGCGCCGGAGGTGATCCTACGGCAGGGATACGGCAAGCCGGTCGACTGGTGGAGCATGGGTATCATCCTGTACGAGTTCCTGGTCGGATGCGTGCCCTTCTTTGGCGACACACCCGAGGAGCTGTTCGCGCACACCGTCAATGGTGAGTGACCGAGGGGGCTGTGAGGAAAGCCTAGTCAGTCCGTATGACTGATTCTAGGCTAGTGAGGTTATACCAGTCATCCAGTCGTGGGGACTGCTGACTGCCGCTGTTCTTTCCTTCTCTTCATGTCTATTGAATAGTGCCATACAGATCGTCGCCATTCTCCGGGTCATCTCGTCGTTTTTGTTACCGGTACATTTTATTTTGATCAGTTCGACCTCGTCTCAGACGCATTATGGTGATGTGGTAGATGACTGTATGCATATGAGAATAATGTAAGTGCTAGCTTAGCCTGATTGACTCACTGTCCTCAATCGAACAGTCTCGCTTCGCACAACCGCTGTAGGTGTTCGGCGGATGGTCTTCCACGGAGCTCGTTTCCGTTTCAGATGACATTGAGTGGCCGAGCGACGAGGAGTTCCAGGTGCTTCCCGAGGCCCGTGACCTGATCTCCCAGCTGTTACAGCAGACCCCTCTGGAAAGACTGGGGACAGGCGGTGCCCAGGAGGTCAAGGTGAGTCCTGGGTGGGCCACACTGCGAGTGCCACGGCTTTGTCAACGTCTGCGTTTCTTATTGAACCCAAGCGTATAAATGAATGAATCTGTTACATAAACCGTCCCGGCTAAGTATAATGGTGAATTTGTGGACTTTGTAGTTAAATAGGTTTGTAAGTGCTAATGGTACGTGTGATGTTGCCTGCAGGACCACGCGTTCTTCCTGAACCTGGACTGGACGAACCTGCTGCGCCAGAAGGTCGAGTTTGTACCGCAGCTGGAGGACGACGAAGATACCAGCTACTTCGACAGTGAGTCATATTGTCTATACTCTGTTCCGTTTCAAGTTTGCAGCCGAAGTACCCTGCTGAAAGCAGTGCGTGGTTTCTGTATATACAGTTCTTACATTTTAAGACGCTACTTCCTGAGCGGAGGAGCGATCTGCCGAAGAAACTCCGACCGCAAGCTTGATATGGAACAGACTATAGCCTCGCCCTGTTCGAAACCACGCTATAACACTCAGGTCCGCTCAACACTCTCGGCTGTTTGCCTACACCGGCTGAGAGGGTAGCTTCTCTACTAGTCGTTATGATAGTCACCTCTCGGGAAGCCTCTGAGTTACGTTGATAGTTCAGCTGTTTAGCCTTCGGTACTGCCATGGATTCTGACGCGGTCCGTTTGTGTGCTGCAGCCCGGGCGGACCGGTACAATCACGATCTGGAGGATGACACGGACGATACCGAGGAGTCGCTGCTCTTTTCTTCGTTCTCGTCCTGCTCGCCCAGATTCAAAAAGGTGAGTGCGCTGGGCAGCCTACATTCCGCAATGAACCGACTGTAAGGGGAGATCCCGCTTCTGCTGGACAACCCGATGGGACTATCTCGCTAGAGCCCAGTCCCCCGTTGTCTACCCAGACCATCTGGTCTGATCTAAGTTGGATCATAATGAAACTTCGTCAATGGTGCGACTGTACGTAAATAGCAGTCAATTGATCAAAAATGTCGCGTATGATAGTCGGTAGTCTTCTGCTTCTTGTACCGTCGATGCGCAGCAGCTGTACGTCTGCGGTTGGCTGACTCTGTAGGCTGTATATCCCGTCGTGTTTCCTCTGTTGACCGTTGTTCATTTCCGCCTCTCCGCAGTCGCAGGGTCGTCTGGACCTGCGCAAGTCCATGTCGCAGGGCGACTCGGGCCAGTCGGACCAGAGTGAGTCGTCGGCAGCCGGCAGCGGCGAGGCGGCCGACTCCGGCCGGCTGGCTCGTATCCAGCACGTCAGCAGCCTGCCGGACGTGTGAGTACCGTCTCTGTCCCTGCAGCTTTCACCCCCGCCCCTCTCAGTGTTCCCCGCTCCCGCCTCACCCATCTTGAAACCCGTGCACACGGGCACAACGAACCCAGCCGCGCTACGCACCTTTCCCCCGTATGTACAGCTCGTTTTTCGCCAACTCGCTCGTTTTACCAACTTGCTCGTTTTGACAACTCGCTCGTTTTTTGTCGATTCGCTCGTTATTTTTGCCATTTTATTTTGCCTGGTAGTCGTGCTATCGTGCTGTGTTGTGCCCGGCGCAGTTGCGTGCCGGGCCGCTGGCTGTATGTGTCTGTAAGCTCGCCGTCTAATGCATGCTCGGTGCCGATGGCGACAGGCCGCTGCGACTGTGGTCGGGTGCTGCCGGACCGGGCCTGGGCCGGAGCCCGTTTATCACTCCGGACAGCTCCCAGACGGAGAGCGAGGACGTGTCGCCTCAGGTGCAGCGGCGCCGACGGCACCGCGAGCCACGGCCGGCCGTCGCCGTCGACAAGGCAGACGGAGGGTAGGTGGCACTGAGCGCGCGCGCGCGGTACCAGAGGCGGCGCTCACAACAAACTGAGCTACCGACGCTCGGAGTCGATGGTTTACCGTGGTAGTTAATGTGCATGCATGCGCTTATTTTATTGTTGCTATTTTTCTCTAGATTGATGTCTAGATGAGCATGATTAATTTCGTAAAATGTGACTTTGTTTTTAGTCTTTCAATGTTTATCAGAAAGATCGAATTAATTGATATTTGATTGTAATAAGAAGTGAAAATTATGCTCACTCTTACGTCTTGTGAAGTTGTGAGTGAGAGCAATGACATCAAAATAATTATATCCTACAAGGTACTACAAAGCGTTCCTTGCTTTGCTCTGAAGCTCTACTCGAGCCCTGGCTGACTGTATACCCGGTGTCTGGCAGGTCAACGGGTACCGACCACGTCCGCGAGCTCTCGCCCGTCGAGGAGTCTGAGAAGTCACCGCCGCGTAACTCTCCCACGGTGGAGTGCGGTACCGCGGAACGTGCTGCGCGGTCGGGGCCTGGCGCCAAGACCACCGCTGCTGCTCCCGCTACAACCACTACCACTCCCGCTACTGCGGCTCCTGCTCCTACAACCACCAGCTCGGCCCCCGCCGCCATCGGTACCCTCGCCGGCCCCGCGGCGGCCGCTGGCGGAGAGCGACCAGCACCCACCGGCGGCAGTCTGCGTCCCCCGACCGCCGCCACGCCGCCGCCGCCCATCATACGTACCCCGGGCGGCGCACCGCCGCTGCCGGCTGGCGCGCGGCCCAAGGCCTCGTCACCAATGCACCGGGTCATTAAGTCGGCGTCGGCGTCCGGTCTCAACCTCATGATACCGCCTGGTGGGTTCTGGTTGATGATGTGGTCTCTATTCTGAATTTTAATTAGCCAGCAAAGATGATCGGGTCTAAGTTCAAGTATTTCTGACGCTAAATAATTTAATGACCTAAGTAGAATGTGCCATATACTTTCCTCCAGTTGCTGATCGGTTAGTGCCTCCTTTTTATTTCCGTTTTACTGCGCTCATTCTGCGCAGCTGATTACATAATTAGTGCGGTAAACTGTTCACCTGGACCCCGTTCCCTTGTAATTGACGCTCCTCGCCTTCCGTCCTGCAGAGGACGCCTGCCCGCAGCCGGTCCAGTCCCCGGGCGGCTCGTCCACGGCCAGCTCGCGGGACGCCTCCCCGTGCCGGGAGCTCTCGCCGCTGCTCAACAACCTGAAGCCGCCCGTGATCCTGCGGCGCGGCGCGCGTGGCTTCGGTTTCACCATCCGCGCGATCCGTGTGTACCTGGGAGACTCGGACTACTACACGGTCCACCACCTTGTCATGGTGAGTGGGTAGTTTGAAGGGGATGGCGCTGTGGATGGGGAAGATGTATAGTATGGGCTGGTTTTGAGGTATTACTGATATGTGCTCTGGAGGAGTCGATTTGGTTGTATCTGCCGGTTTGATCCTGTCCTTTTCTGACCGTGTCTTTGTATGATCAATTATTAAAATGAAAGGACGGACCTAGAAAAGCAGTTTCCGTCTTTCAGTGTTCCGTGAAACTTTTGATCGGCATGCCATTGGTGCATGTGTGTCCTATCTAATTGTGTCTACTTCCCCCTTTGTGCTTTGTTATCCCTGTCTGTCCAGTGACCCATTCTGACCGTGTATCTCCTCCGCTCTACAGACGGTGGACTCTGGTAGTCCGGCGTTCGACGCCGGCCTCCGTCCGGGCGACCTCATCACGCACATCAACGACGAGCCGGTGCAGGGCCTGTTCCACACGCAGGTGCTGCAGCTGCTGCTGTCCGGTGGTGACCGGGTCACTCTGCGCGCCACACCGCTGGACCAGACCTCCATCTCCAGCGGCGGCCGAAAGCGCGCGCCCGGAGCCGCCAAACTGGCGCGCCGCGCCGGCAATCGCCGCAAACGCAAGGAGAGCAGCGTCGACAAACGACGAAAGGCGTCTCTACTGCGGAAACTGAGCAGCAAGCGCGCCAGTGCTGAGATTCATCAGGTGAGGATTTCTGTTCCGCTATGTGCTGCCTTTAATTAAACACGGTCCGATGATGGGAGGTCGGTCTGGAGTCTCGTCTAGACAGCCGAGACCGGTCCCGTTATAGACCTATCGACGGTCTGACGTTGTCGCTTGCCATTCGTGCTGATTGGGCTGTGGTATGGAACCTCTGTAATGACCATAGCGACCTGTGATTGTGCTGATCATTAAGCGGGTCTTAATTGTTCTGCGCGATTGCATTGCAGTTCAACGGAACGCGCTCACGTATTCGATGAGCACCAACTAACTAGCAGCTTCCGTTCTAGTCGATATTTCCAATCGCGATGTTTGTCGATATAGCTGCCGGTTGCAATGTTTTCTGTAATGAGACGGTAGGCTGGGGCAGCTGTCTGGCCTGTGAATGATTTAACCCCTTTGACCCCTCTCTGATGCTCCTCTGACTCCACTACCGCCCCTCTGATGCCCTTCTATGTCCGCTTCGACGTCTCTCCTACGCCCCTCTGACATCCATTTGACGCCTTTGATCTTCCTTTGTTTTCACCCAACGCTCTGACGCCCACTGATCACTCTTAGGCGTACCTCTGACGCCCCTCTGATGTCCATCCGATGCTCATGATCCTCTTACGCTCTCTGCGGCCCCTTCTGACACCAATTTCTCCTTCGTCGGCAGATGGCCAGCAACTCGCCGATGCAGCTGACTCCGAGCCGCAGCTTCTCCTCTCTGAGCCGCTCCGTGTCCTGTGAACCGGGCGCCGCGGCTCGGCCGGCTCACCGGCTCAGTCACAGCGACTCATCCAACTCATCGTCTCCCTCGTCCTCTGTGCCGAATTCGCCGGCGGCGGCAGCAGCGGCGGCCGCGGCCGGTCAGTTCCAGCCGCGGCCCTCCTCCCTGCACGGCCTCAAGCACAAGCTGCACGCGGCCACCAAGTCTGCGCACGCCGCCAGTCGACGTAAGTCGGTGGGCCACATCCCGCTGAGCCCGCTGGCGCGCACACCGTCTCCCAGTCCGCTGCCGGTGTCGCCAACCCGGTCACCCAGTCCGCTGGCGTTCCCCGTGGCGCATACGTCCTCGGCACCGGCCTGTTCGGTGCAGTCGTACAGCCCGGGGGCCGCCAGTCTGGCGCCGACTGCCGCAGCCAAGGCGTACATGCGGCCCAAGTCTGCCGAGCCGGGCAGCCCTCTGTTGCGGCGCGCGCTGTCGCCGGACCGGCTGCATCGAGCCGACGGCCGGCCGGCCATCTCTCCTCTGGTTTCGTCGCCGCCGCCGCGGGTGACGGTGACGGCACAGTCGCCGCCGCCGACCGACGGAGCGCTCACCTCGTCTGACGGAGGGGCCAGTCCGGACCTGTCCCGGCGGCCGCGCGCTCAGCCCCACTGCCGCCACCACCGGCGACCGGGGCCGCGGCGGCCGGACACTCCGCCCGCGGGAACCCCGCCACCGGCCGCGCCACCGGGACGGTCGCCGGCGCGGGCCGAGCAGACGGTGTACGTCTCCACGGTGACCCACCGACCGGCCGAGGCTGGTGACGGGGCCGGGGAGAAGCCTCCTTCGTCCTCCGAGCGACCGTCGAGCAGAGAACGCAGCAGGCGCCGCGAGGGCAGTCTGCGCCGGCGGGCGGCGCGCGTGGAACCAGAGGATAAGGTGACGGCGGCAGGGACGGCCTCGCCCACCCGACCGCCGCCCTCTCCTGCCGAGAGCAGGCGCTCGGCGCAGGAGAAACGAACTGCCTACAGGAATACCAGCGCCACAACGAAAGACGATGATGTGCGGCCCTAGGCGGCCTTTAGTGATCACATGTGATATCTTAGTGCTGACTGTCCCGGCGCGTGTGCCACTCAGTGTATTTATTGGCGCTCGCTTGGTGACTCGGCTTCTATTCTGTCCGCGCTGGCTCGTCGTCTCGTAGTGTGTATGTGTGTGTGTGTGTGTGTGTTGCGCAGAGCACCACTCGTCCGTCGGTGTTTCTAGGTTGGACTGGCGGGCGGGCCAGGCTGGCTAACGCCCTTTTGTCTCTAACTGCTGTGGGGTCTGGGGCTCGGCTGGCACGGTCTCGTATCTCATCTCTGGCCCTTGGGCGTTTGTGTGTGTGTGTGTGGGCGGCTGGCCTCCTGAGGGATCTGGGTGTCGGCCGGGGCCCCTGTGATGGGCTGGGGCCCTTCGTTGGGCAGGGGCCCTCTGAGGGGTCTGTGTGGCCATCGGGGGTCCTCTGAGGCGTCTCTTGGCCGGCCGGGGCCCGGCATTGTGCCGTCCGTTCGCCGCGCCGCCCCGGGCCCGTCGAATGTTCACTCTTCCTTTTCATCGATTCCATCTGAATGTGTGTCTCAACTCATCGTGTATCTCCGGCGGTTAGTCGCTGGGAGTAATTTGGGGGGCTGGCTGCTGGTCGGATGTCTCCGCTGTCTATTAGCGACACCCGCCGGTCGCGGGCGCAGCCGAACGATAATAAAGGGGAGGGGCAAGCCTTGTTTGCGAATATTGGCAGTGATGCAGAGGATCCATTTGTCGCCATTGGCTCTGGATGACCTGAAGTTCGAATTGTGACCGCCGGCCGTCCCCGCTGGATGGGAAGGATTGGGCGCCGCCGAGTGAACAGCTCTGGTGTGATATCGCCGGGCTGCGGTCGGCGGCAGCTGGTAACGTTTGAGGGACGACCGGCGCGGCTGCTGCACCCACTCATGACCAAAGCACAATATATGTATTCGTCGATACATCCGAGAATGTGTTTCTTTTGGCTCGGGAGTGGAAAACTGATGGGGAGAACGTCTTTCATCTGCGTTGCATTAGTAATCGATCTATGTGGTATAGAATAATTGTGCCAGCAGGTATTGGCAGGAAGGATATTTCACTACAGATTGCATCACACCCGTCACACTGAGCTCGCATATTTTGACGACGGCTTCCCTTCTTAGGGGTAATGACGTGCTTGCTTGAAGATGCATAATCACAATTTATTAGTTCAATCATGTTTGTGCATATTGTCCACATGGTAGTGCATATTTTATGTTGCACTGCAACGATGAGTTTGTTGCCAGTCGGTCACTTGCACAAGACGGCTTATCCAAATTTCAAAACGCTTACCTCAATGTATTAGTGATGAACCAAAGAGGAACAGGCATTTTCTGAGTCATCGCCGGACCAATCGGCACTCATCATAGTTCATACAACCGCAGGATGGAGGGCACACGTGATCGCCTACGCCGTTTCAACCCTACCTGAGCTAGAGCTTCAATAGTTTGCCTCAAATTTAACTGTATCGAGTCAACCTGTGACCTCGGAGGTCAGGTCAATATCTTTTAAATCACTTAGCAAAAATGGTATATCTAGTGTATTTTGACGCTATCGCGTTTTTCTTGCCCAACTGCGTTGAGGAGTGAGAGGTCAGCCTTGGTGTTGACCTCAGGTCATTGTCGGTAAAGCCGTTCAGGTCAGTTGGCCGGAAGTTGGTCAGAAGGTGCCGCATTGCACGTCATTCGATTCTGCGGCTCATTCTGAGTTAATCAAATGGTAGCTTTCCCGAGTCGCGAGTTTAATTTGATCGGGACTTCTTGATGAAAAAAGTCCGTGGCCTCAAATGACCTTAATTAACTGACCTTAGTTTCGTAACGTCACGGAAGGTCACGCAAAACCTTAAAAAATGATTAACCCAACAAGGCTCGAAACTAGTATATGAGCATTTAACCATATGCCTAATAACGAGTTTATATTGATTTTAGTAGAGTTCTTATTAGTTATTACGTACCGTTTTGTGGACGGTTACCATGGTTTCCGATGAATTGCAAAGTCATAAAGGTAACGACCTTTAATTACATGGGTTAGGAGTAATAAAATATGCGTGGGTCGTTGCATACTTGATTACAAATGGAAGTGGCCTAAAATACCTAGCTATCAATATTCACTAAACACTCTGTGTTTAGTTGACTATCAACTACCGCCGGTATTTTATTGTTGGTCGTTAAATACCGTGTGAGGGCTCAGCTGCCGGTTGGGGGAGCCCCCGGGAGTGACCGGAGGATGTGAAATGGTGGGCTGTTTCCGTATGTTCGATCGACTGCTGACCCGATGACCAGTGGTTAGTGATCGGTGATCGGCGCTGACCGTGTCCGAGCTCGATCCGAGCTCAGTCGGCGCCATGGCGGCCGTCCAGCTGGCCGCGTGCCTGCTCGTCGTGTTGGGAGTGCGGCCCGTCCTCACAAAATACTCCAGCCGCCTGTGAGTTGAGAGTTCCACTAACCGAGTTATTGTGGGCCCCAGTGCTCCCATGGCCTCACCGTGACCGGTCATAGTGGACCTCATCATCACATCAGGCCGGGTCATTCTGGCTCCCGTAGCCCTACCAGCTGTCACCTTCACTACCGGGGCACAAAGTTTTCCCCTATTTCACCACGACCGGTCATAGTGTTTTCACGACCGCTCATAATTCCCCATCCCATCAGAGCGGATCACTGCCTGCTGGCTCCCGACGCCGCTCAACCATTCCCATTGCGGGAAGACTGGGTCTGTTCGCTCACCTTATCACTAGACCGAAAAATTGACTACCATCGCCAATTGTTACCAGATTATAGAATATGTTCTACAGTCGTCTTGAACCTCGACCTAAGCTCAGGCCATAAAATATAAATGTCGGAACTATCATAATACGTTCACCATCTTTTTAATAACCACTTTACCCATTTTATTCCCCCAATATCCCAATACCCCGACTTTAAGTTTCCAAGCAGCTGTTACTGTAGCCGGTGAAGCATTGTAAACCGTTTTCTTTTTCCCGGAGTAAGGATTATCAATGTGACCTATTTGTTTTATAGGCCCTATTATAGGACCTGTTTAATTTATTATTTGACTATTGCCAACTTATTTTAGTTCATATCACAGACATCTGCTATCTGTAGGATCGATTTGATCAAATGAAAACTACATTTTTAGATAAGGCAATATAAGTGTCCCGGACATTGTCCCCTACAAGTACCCGAAACTTCCATTTCATATCGACGTATGAAAGTTACATAGGATATGGATTTCAATAAAAACATCCTCAATTTTTATTTACGTAACCGTCACGTTTTATGGGTGACGTAAAACGAATGCTCATTAATAAGTGACAAGTGCATTTGCCTAGCCTACCCTGTCAATCTATTAGCTAGAAACCGGCTATCCCCGCGCAATGCATCTGTAGTGAAACTCGACTGCGCGGAAGGATTATGAGCGTCCAAATTCCTCGCGACCTGTCGTGAATCGTTACGTCTGATTCGCGCGGTAGCAGGCCACGCCAGAGTGGACTCCTCACTCCACTCAGCTGAGAGGCGCCGCCAGTGCTCTCGGATAAGCCGATTGAGCCAGTTTGCAGCGGCCCCAGTTTCACTTTCGCCGCTCCCAGCCGCTGGGAGGTGGCGGAGGGGCGGCCGGAGACCGGCGCAGGGGCCGGACGGGCCGGTCTAATCCGGTCCTGCCGGTGTACCGAGTACCGAGCAGACGCAGCTTGTCAAGCGCGTCGGCAATCTGGTTCGACTTTCGCTGCCGGCCGGCCCGACAAATAGGCGGGTACACGCTTACACGCGCGTGCTTTTTGCTCCTGCGCGGTCCTGAGATGTGACGGTGCGATAAAGTATGTAATTCCCACACGATTGGGACATCTTGCTGGAGGACGATCGGAGAGATTCTCTAGTTGCAGCGTTTGACCAGTGTCATCCTCTCTATGAGTCATCGACAGTCCATCGGATCTCATTGATTTCACCAGTGGACTTTTGTTTTGAATTAGCGATAAAAACGTTACTGATATCAATGTTTGCAACGTTTCTGCTTTCCTGGCGCGCAGTCAGATGGATGAGCTCTTGGGAAGACTTTAGGGCCGATTTTACGTGAATATTTTGACAGATTTTAGCCCCAGGCCACCATCTTCAGACCACGAGATCACGTGCAGTTGCCACACTTCAAGAAAAAGCAAATATTGAAATGTGTTCTCCCTAACTACACCGGCTTGACAGCTTTCCTTGCACTTTCCCTCACGATTTCAGTGATTAACAATGAAGATAGAGTGTACAAAATGCTCGATATTTTGTATCAGAGACCTTGGGCCAGGTCAACTTTGTGAACTACCATGCATTATGTGATGAGAAGACCGTTTGCGATGATGGGCTGCTATTTCGCTTTATTTACTTATTTCATCTAGCAGTAATATTTTCCTCCCTATTACGTTTATTTACGTTTACGTTTATTTATGTTTGGAGTTCAATTTCATTTGGATCTTTAACACAACACTTATTTGAGCTTATGCGTTTAGTTCGACATATAGTTCACGCATCAGACTGACTCAGAAATGCATACATTTGAGGTCGTGTGACACCATCATAGATCACTAACAACTGCAGACAATGCATGTACCATGCCATGGTGCATATGAATCCTTTCTTGTTTCATCAGGACAAATGAACTGATTTGTAACATATCTCTAAAGACGGTTACTGACCTTGACCGAAAGCGTCAGATCAATTTCGTAGCAAAATATAAGATCAATTTCGTAGCAAAATACAAATAAGTTTGTTTTTAATCGGCTAACCTTTCGGCGTTAGGACTTCTGACCTGAAACTACATAATTAATGATAAACGGTCATGGGGAAAAACGGACTCGCGTTTTTTTGTAAGGTACAAATACAATAACAATAACAAATGCAATACAAAGCAGAAAACTGATTAGTAATGAAGTTCCTCTGTTTGTGCGCACATCAACTTTATTTACAAAATCAAAGGCCATGCATTCCTAATAGCATGAAGATCATATAATAGCATGAAGCGCATGGCCCAAACAGCAGTAAGTTATGCTTATGTTTCAGTTTGACTGCCGAGGAGAACCTGAACGCCAGCGCGTGCGTCGTCCAGCCGCAGTACCGGGTCATCCCGTCCGACTACGATGCCTCGATGCCGCCGTTCCCGTGGCACCAGCCGCTCTCCGTCTACATCAGCCTCTGGGTGGCCTCCATCACGGACATCAACGAGATGGAACAGGAGTTCACGGTCGACATCTACTTCCGCATGTGGTGGTCCGACCACCGGATCCGCTTCCCGGTCTGCGAGCGGCGCTCGTTCGTGCTGCTCGACCAGGCGCAGCTCGACCAGCTCTGGATGCCCGACCTGTACTTCACCCTGGCGAAGACCTCGAGTCGACACTACGTACTGCTGCGTAATGGTGGTCTACGCTTGTCCCGAGAGAACACCCAGGTCTTCTACAGCGAGAGACTCACCGTCACCAACTTCTGCGCGTTCGACTTTCGGTTCTTCCCGATGGACCGACAGCGCTGCCCGATGCCCATCGAGCCCTACATCTACCATGGGGCCTTCGTCAACCTGACGTTCGGCGACCCGGGGATCTACTTCAACAACTTCAAGTTCAAGATCCCGCAGTACACGCTGAGCGGAGTCGAGCCAGAGTCTTGCAACTATGAGTACCACTTCCATGGTGAGCCGCTCAACCAGACCTGTGTCCAGGGCATCTTCGTGCTGGACCGCCAGTTCAGCTACTACTTCGTGCAGATGTACCTGCCGTCGATCCTGATCGTGCTCGTCTCCTTCCTTAGCTTCTGGATCCCGGTGGAGAACGTGCCTGGTCGGGTGGCTCTCGGGGTGACTTCCCTGCTCACGCTGGCCACTCAGTTCACCACCATGCAGCGCTCGCTGCCTCCCGTCTCCTACATGAAAGCCATGGATGTCTGGATGTTCCTCTGCATCGTGGTCGTGTTCCTCGCCATGGTGGAGTTCACGCTCGCCTACAACTTCCGCATCCTGGTGCCGGAGGGTGTCGAGCCAGCCGAGAAGGACGGCGACGACCGTCGGGGGAGCTCGCCGCTCAGTCCCTTACCCCCGGTGGTGGAGCCGGGACTGGCGCCGGTCGCTGTTCTCGGTGTCGAACACAACCCCTACGGAAAACGACAGCCCAAGATCATCGTGGTACGGCCGACCAATGGAAGGATGGCTTGGCTCAGCAACGCCATTGTACTGCTGGTTAAAAAGCTGAAGGATAAGGAGGGTAGCCTGGTGGATAACGTGTCTAAGATACTATTCCCAGTGGTATTTGCCATTTTTAATGTCTTATACTGGACCTACTACTTGAATAGAAGGCATTAATGCAGCCATTCTGGTTATTCATTTATTTTTGAAGTTTATGACAAATGTTTGTAAGAGGGCAGTGAAGCTTTATCGTCCACTCGTATACTAAGGAAACGGTTTTCAGACACTCTTTTCAAAATATACTGTCCTGAAGTGAAAACAATTGGAAACTTTGGTATATATCTGCATTCTGCAGGGATACTTTGTCTTAAAAAAAAACTAGCCATTTAAAAGCAGATACCTACAATTTTTGACAAATTGTGTTCAGCATCTAACCACTCCTAGTACACTAAGGTGAAGACGGCCTTTCCCAGAGACACACGGAAGCGGCTACGGGTCTTGGTGTTCGCACCAGGTTGACAGGAGGTGGGCTTGGCAGTACAGTTTCTCCCGGTACACTACCCAACGCTTTACGGCATCTGTCTAATGAGTGACGGAGCCAGGTAGGAGCCATCCCGCAACCTGACTTTTCTCTGCTGGCAGAAATTGTCTGGTTACTGATACCAATGTGAACACATAACACCGAATAAATGTGCACACAGCACACGCTATACCTACCCATCTGGTTTTGGTGGAATAGGTAATGTTGCTGATGTATTGAAGCTCCAGCTGTCTTTCGGTGACCTTGAAGTGATTGGTACGGAGCGCAGTGTGCGTAAATGTATATGAACGGTCAGTTGAGGATTTGTATGGCGCCAAGCGGTTGCTTAGATTTGTCATGTGCTTTCACTTTTGAACATCAGCTGCAAAGTTTGTACGTGAGTCTGGTGTGTCAATATGCATGCATACGTATGTAGGTACATGGGTACAGCTCAAATGAGTGGAGATTTTATTCAGTGAGCTGGCGCCGGAATAGTGTTACCAACCAGACAGTTTTATGCGCGCTGTCACTGACAAGGCCACACCATCAATTCAGAGAAATGCCTATGTAATGTGGAATACCGATTGCTAAGTTTGTACTTTGAAGAAGCTAGTTTTGGCGTGCGCTGATGGCTTATGATGTAATGTTGCTCCCGACTCCCCAGCACACATAATGATCGATAAATGAGACGACGCTTACCGTATGCACGCAGATATGGGGTTACGATCTACGGAAAAGCCGGTTACTCGCACCCAGAAACTCCCGGTGAGTTACTATAATGCGCCATTCAACTGTTCCCCAATACGCATCGCTGATGGACGCATGGGCGTACTGCATGTATAGTTCACTTGGCAGCCAAGCCAACCATCGATGGGTCGAAGATCTGTATGTTGTTATGTGTGTAATGTTGGCTGTTGCTGTGGATTTTAGTTAGAAATCACAATAAATATTTATTATAACTGAGCATTATGGCAGGTCTGAAACATGGAGCTTGATTTATCAACTGCGAACATGCGCCATTATCGTGCGCAAATGTGTCAATATTTTTGTAGTGAAGTGACGTCAGTCCATGATAATCATTTCTGCATACTCTTAAAAACACTGTCATGATTCGATGGGTACTTACAAGAATATCTACATATGACGTAGCCTCTGTCAACTGGTCGTCGCATCGTGACGACGAGCGACGCGCTCTGAAGCCCTGCGCTGCGTAGCGAACATTGATCAGCAAATAAACACGTCTTTGGGTGTTCGATATGAACTCAAAGGTCAGGGTATCGATAGGACAGTTTTTATTGTGCCAACCTATGATTGACACCGCTTTAAGGATGGAGTTCATGCCATTTTCAGAAGACAATCCTAGCTATAGATCCGCAGTGTTTAGCCTCAATTTCCTCAGCAGCGTCGTCGTTGACCAGCTGCCAATTAATTAAAACACTAATTAAATATCGTGAGATGCCAAATGTTAACCCGCGCGGGGCTGGGGGGGTAAATTTTACCCCCCCCCCCTCGCGAATTTTTGCGATATCTCAGAAACGGCGGCGCGCAGCGCCGCCAAACTTTCAGTACCTTTTTTTACATCAATTTGACACGTTCCCTGAAAATTTGAGCGAAATCCGTCGGAAAATTTTTGAGAAATTGACGTTTTAGTGACGTCATGTTCGCCATTTTCGCCTCAAAAACGGCAAAAGTTCAAACGCCGCTAACATCTTCATTTTTAAAGGAATCAAGACGTAACAAAAAAGGTTATACGTAATTTTACTTTGTCTATCAAATGGCTATCTCGGTTTTTTGAAAATTTTGGATTTTGGCCTAAATTTTTTCAAAAAACTGATTTTTTTGGGAAAATCATTATAAAATCCAAAATTTTGAGTCTATCGAAAAAAACCGGAATATATGTCAGAGAAATGGTCTATGTGCACCTACATACCAAATTTTAGAAGAATCGGTTCAAAAATGTGGGAGTTATTCAAAATTTTATGACGTCACGACACACAAATTTTTTGAAAAATGACTTTTTTGGAAGTTCTAGACCTCGTACGGAAACAAAAAATAGCACCATTCGATTCGCCGTGAAAAACTGCATCAGATAGACACCTTTTAAAGCCTTAACAACCAACTTCAAAATTTGACCTCACTTGACCTGACCTTGACCTGACCTCGACCTGAAATTCATCCAGAGGTGGTCCATATCACTTATTGAGGGTGCCTATTGAATTCTATGAGTAAAATGACCCATAAAACATGTGTCGCACATGCCCTTTTCTATATTTTGTTTTTTGGTGACCTGACCTGACCTGACCTGACCTTGACCTTGACCTCTGAATGATATTGTATGCAACGAATATTGTCTTGGTAGCCTAAGAACACGTTTTGGGCGATCAGTCTCAGTCCATGACTCCATTCTTCGGCAACTATGGTGCAAGGCCGATACTGTAGAAACTTGCAATTTGTACCCTTGACCTGACCTTGACCTTGACCTCAAACTTTAAATCAAGTACATGTTTTTAGTAGTTCGTGATGAGAGCTTTCGATTGGCGTTTTAATTTTCCAAATCGGACCATTAGTTCGGGAGATAACAGGGGGGGGGGGGTAAAATTTACCCCCCCCCCCCAGCCCCGCGCGTTCGGCTGGAGACCCCAGCCCCGCGCGGGTTAATATCGGACGCCATTTAATTGCGTCCCAGAAAAGCTATTTCTGGCACCTAAAAGCTGACTCGCCCCAAAATTGGTCCTCAGCACCTGTTTGGTGGATACCAGCACCAATCATGGAAAATGACCTTAATTAGCTGTTTCTGGCACCTATTCATCGGTACGCCTTACTCTTTTTTCTGAATCTGGCACCTAAATGCTGAGCGTAGCACCAATCTAGTAGAAAAATGAACTACTGGCTGGTAGAATCATGTTGTTCTGGTATAATGACCCCTGGAGTCTAGCCTAAAGGCTGCCAGTGCAGCTACACTCTAAGACAGCCCCGTAGTGATCTCAGCATTGTATATGACGTTTAAGTAAGCAAATAATATTGATTTGTTTGAAAAAACAATGTCATTCAAATATTTTAAAGTATTTATTTGTAATGCTTAAAGGGAAACATTTTTGTGAGTAATTGTCTCGATTTTGACCATTAAAACGGGTATTGTATTTTTTGACGTCATCAAATAGCTCCAGAAAAGAAATGTGATGTTTTCATTCCGTTCAAGGCCGCTGAAGAAACGCGGGATCTTGCGTGGGACATTGTCCGTTGTTTGCCGCGCAGAGTTGTGCCGTGGTTGTGCCTTTTTCATCCGTTTCTTACTTATGTCATATGTGTGCATGAAGCTTTGATTTTGTTTTTGGTTATTGTGTGGCCGGTCAGTCAAACGCCCCTGTAGAAGCCGGATGCTGCGTTTGATCGAGATGGAGTCAGACGATGATTGCAGAAAGCTAATAATATTGAAAAGAGTTGCGTGGCATGTCTGTTCGGAGTTGACATTTTGCTTTACTCCAGTTTATGACCTGAGAGCCTGGCTGGAAGTGACGGATCCAAACTTTTCACGTTAAGATGGCTGAGGGTGCAATAATCTCTAGTCGGCTGGAAGTGATCTCTATTCTCTTTTGGCTAGAAATGACATTAATCATTATCTCCACTGGCGAAAATGGCACTTGACATCACCGAATGCAACGTTCATATTGTAGGATACATAAAATCAGGAAGATTACGCGAATTAGGTAGGCAAACGTGGAATAAAATAGGTGCTGGATGTTTTGGTTTTGGTGGTGAATCAGCAAACAGCAAATACGGAGTTCAACTAGACGATCTGGCAACTTTAGGCTGTGTGGAAGCAATTAGGTGCCAGATTCAGATATTAGGGTCGAATAAGCATTTTGGGGCTGATCAGCAATTAGGTGCCAGAAACAGCTTTTTAGGGACCAGAAACAAATATTCCCCGTTAATATCCACCGCTCGGTAGTTAACTGTCGGGTGCCATTGATCCTGTTTTGCAGATATTTTATGGCAGGAATCGCTGAATGATACCATTAGGCCCACTGGATTGTCCAGCACCTAATGAGTTTTTTTTTTTTTTGCCAAGAAATATTTGCCAACATTGCATATTCAGCATACGTGGGCATTGGGCATGGCTGACTTCCGCTTTTAGTCGGTTTCTGACTAGGCTGCGATGCAGTGATGGTCTCTTAATACCTACCGGCGTATCAACTAAATCTTCTGCTTTTCTAAATTAGTGGGTTCGAACGGGTTTGAACATATTTATTACTTAGCCAAACGTTTTCTAAGGTTATTTCGTGCATCGCGAAGTGTTCATACCGTAAATATACAAATAAACGTCCCAAAGTGTTCGCAGGTGTCTGTTAGTCTCCTTCATCATTCTAGTTGCGTGACCAACTTGCACTTGGGGTCAAGCTGCAGGGTCAGTTTCCAGGAGACAGAGCTAGAATGTTTCCGTGTACAGGTGATATATCTACTATCTATGCAGTGTGCAGCAAGGACATAGCATGTTGTGAAGAGTTATTTACCGATAGGTAAAGTTTCCTCAAAAGACACTGATAAAAAATCATTTTTATATAGGTATGAGTATGGGTAGGTAATAGGTATGTTTACCTTTGTTTCATACTTTTAATTGAACTGAAACGTCACACGAATAAAACAAAAAGTGTTTACTCATTTTCCGCATTTCATTTATGAAGTTAGCTCAATTGTTAATGTAATTATTTATATGGGGTATAATAATAATAATAATAATAATATTAATAATAATAATGATAATGATAATAATGATAATAATAACAATAATAATAATAATAATAATAATAATAATAATAATAATAATAATAATAATAATAATAATGCCATTTATGATATAGGTATGTGATATATCATATCATATACGATTATTTTTTGCGGCGTTCGCGTTGGCGGAGTTCGATAGCCTTGGCGTTGGCACTACTGGCGGCGGTTGGTCCGAGGGTTACATTTTTAATTGGTTTCTCTGATTGTTTTTAGTTTTTGTGCTTTTGTGCTTTTCTTTCAAACCTTCGGTACGGCGATGCTATGGCATTGCCACTCCACAATACCTACCTACATAACTAGGTGTGTTCTCAAAGTATGCTGAAGGGAACCTTGAATGTGATTATGCTTCTGTTATTTTGATTATTCATGTGTGTAATAACTTTCTTCGCCCTTTTGTTTCAAATCATATATAAACTATATTATAGCCGGTTTCACGACGGCTGCATCTGTTACACATTTGGTGAAGATTGGGTGCATATTTGCTGCAGATTTGGTGCAGCTTTGGTCAAGTTAGGTTCATCGTGTTTCCCAAAAGTTATTAGCTTGGGTTGCACAGATGCTTCTTATATGCCTCATTTTTTTAATTATCTGACATCTTTTTTTTTAATAATGAAATAATTTCAAGATATGAAAATATTTGTTATAAAGAGACTTGGTGCAGATTTGGTCAAATTTGGTGCATTCGCTAGATAGGCCGTCTTGAAAACTGCTACTGGCTTTTCGCTTATGCGTATTTAAGTATTTTGGGTTTTAATTGAAAAATTGTACATTATCATCAATCATTTAAACATTATTTCATTATTTCATTGCAAATATTCTGTTGCGTTTCTCCACATTCGATATGTGAAGGCTTGCAAAAGACTGCCACTCAAGAGTCTCAAGAAAATCTTATAAGAAATAAGCCCTTCAACCGACTAAGTCCGGTAAAAATTAAATGCAACGCAACTTTCTACTACTGTAACCTGAGCTGGTGCAGGCCATTTCGTAATGTGTAGGTAGGATCTTGTCGCGTTTTTGTTACTTCCTGGAGGATTATAGAAGGTAATGCTTCCGCTGGATTTCGGCTCAAGCTTCCGAAAGTATGATAACTACTTGTGCTTGCCCCGACGCGTGGGGTGGACTGCTGAGCGGACTGTTGTACTTGAGTGTACATACTTACTTACCCCGACTGTTTACCCTTAAAGCAACTAAGGTCAATAAGAACCTACAAAGGTATAGGTTAGGTGAGATAAGAGTAAGGACGAGACAGTAGCTGCTCTGCTGGACCTTTACCAGCATAGATGATCAGGTATTGACGAAGTGTCATTTCTAATCTTCATTTCCTCAGGTAAATGATAGTAATTGCGTATTCGTTTCGGGCTACACTGAGGTAAAAAATTGTTAAAAACCAAAAAAGCAGACCATTGAACAAGGCTACTCAATAAAGCCGAAATATTTGGTTTTTAACAATTTTTTACCTCAGTGTAGCCCGAAACGAATACGAATTACTAGCATAGATGATGATGGACAGTGGGTAGAGACATGGAACGGGGGGGGGGGGGTCCGCCAGAAGAGAGTGGTCGATGGCTGACGGCTGAAGGCTCAACTGCGCGAGTTGCAGCTTCTAAAGCTGTGTTCCGACTTTAGGCATCCTGAGCACAATTTATGCGCAGAGCGCACAGTGGCCAGTTCGAAGGAACCGGCTTCTCCGCAAGACTGACGGTTTACGGGAACTACACCGTCAACAGTCAACATATTGTAATTGCGTCGCTGCTTTCCGTTAGCGCGTAACTATGCCACATTGTAGCCAGGGTGATGGATGCATACCTACCGGTATTTATCATTCACGCTACAATGGAATAACATGGTCCTGCCGAGCTGCTCGGACCACAGACCCGTAAGACCTGTCCTACTGCCGCGCTGCTCTTAGATAATAACCGTGCTAGATCATGGCATTACAGGAGAGCAAAGCAGCCATGGCCATTCTGACTAAAAATGCAATTCACTCCATGGCCACTTGTTTCCGCTTTTTTTTTTTGCTGATTACAACCAACTGCCCCCATACGGGACTAAGGGAGGATTACCGTGAGCTGCTGCCGTTCGGCGTTAAATCCTATTAGTAAACAGTCAGGCAAGTGGCAGGGGTGTGGTAAGAGAAGATCAGGGAAAGTCCGAAAATTTTTAGCCGGAACGATAGAGATGTTAAATGTAAAGAAAATAAAATAAATGACAAATAAAATAAATGACAAATGAGTATTCTTATTTCCTGTCGGACGCACACCCACCTATCGTAGATTGATGCAGCAATGTCAAGTGCACCAACGAGGGCCGCTTTTACACCAAATCCAATCGATAATTTTCCATTTTCTGGCGGCATACACAAACGTTCTTACCTAATGCTCCCTTCAGGCAAGCTGACCTTATCAGCTGACCTATTTACGGCTGACCTATATTTCCCTATTGACTCCTGTTTAGCCATAAATACAGCTGTCTGTAAAATATCACAGGCTAGTTGTTGCTTGTGGTGACTGACTGAGGTTTCGTAGATAGATTATGAACGATGCGGATAGTGTACCGGTGCGGCCACGTCCCCCGGCTGACGGCCGCAGCCGCGCGGCCTCTGAGCGCGAGCCGCGCGCCGGGAGACCAGCCGGCTCTCGGGAGACCCACTTTCGGCGGCGCGTCTCACGAAAGGGAAGGTGGTGGTAGCGGCGGCCAGTCAGTCGGTGTCGAGTCGTGTCGGGGAGAGCACGTGTGCCTGTCGGCGGAGCGGGGTGTGACCGGTGACCGAGACCGATCGACCGGCGACCGGCGACCGCGGGAGGAGCGGCTGACTGATATAGTACCGGCGGAGAGTGATTACTGGACGTCAGGTGAGTTCTGCGCCTACCACTGCGCGCTGCACGGTGTCGGGAGCAGCCGAGCTGGTGGAGCTCTCTGAGCTGGCGACGATACCCGAGCTGCCGGTCATGCAGCCGGCACGGAAAGCCGGTACGGAGCTGACCGGACCGTACCGTACCGGACCTGACACCTAACCATTGCATGGTCCGATGTCAGCAATGGCGCCCTCGGGTGGAATGAATATCGCTCATGGAAATAAGAATATGTTACTTTGGCAACACCTTATACAAAGGTGATTCATTAGGTAACGATGCTCGCAAATCTCAAACCAAAAAAGTGGGGTGCATCCGTTTGTGGTATAGTAGTTGACCGCAATCGCTGCCTATTTCAACTTCGCGCCACTCCACTCGGCTAGTAACTCATATCCGCATCGATAACGGAAATCAACCATTCCTCGAGTTCCGTGATGCTTTGCTGCAGTCTGCGGTACAGCTGATGGCCTCAGGTCTCTCTCTCTCTCTCTCTCTCTCTCTCTCTCTCTCTCTCTCTCTCTCTCTCTCTCTCTCTCTCTCTCTCTCTCTCTCTCTCTCTCTCTCTCTCCTCTCTCTCTCTCTCTCTCTCTCTCTCTCTCTCTCTCTCTCTCTCTATCCTCTCTTTCCTCTCTCTCCCTCCCTCTTTCTCTCTCTCTCTATCCTCTCTTTCCTCCTCTCTCCCTCCCTCTCTCTCTCTCAACTCTCTTCCCCTTTCCCTCCTTTCCTCTCTTCCTCTCTTCCTCTCTCCCTCTCTCTTCCCCTCTTCATCTCTTTCTCTCTGCCTCTCTTCCTTTCTCCCTCTCTCCCTCTCTCCCTCTCTCTTTCATTTATCTTACTCTTCCTTGCTCTTTCTCCCTCTCCCTTTATCTCTCTACCTCTCCCCTGCTCTCCCTTCTCTTGCTCCCTCCCTCTTCCTCCCTCTTCTCCCTCAACCTCTGCTGGCGCCTGACCCCCTCTCTCATTTTCATTTTACCCACGACCGCTACAAGATATTCTGTGTTATGTTTGTCTTCTCAAGGCGTGGCGATTTATGAATTACTCTGAGCCTGAAAACACTTGCGTTTTCTCTGTTATGACGAGAATCCTTGTTCCTAAGGACAGTGAGCGTCGGATTTGGAAGTGAAAGCAGTGATAAGACTTCTTTGCATAAACAGCTTCTTATGCATCAGCTCAGGGTCTTATGCAGTCGGACGAGTGGTCTCACAGTAAGAGTTGATGTTCATCGGACAAGTAATCATTCATAGGCAGATCAAGGAAAGCTAAACCAATATATTGTTGGTAAAACTTTACATAGCCGCTGCTTGTCGAGTTGAGAACGACCGATAGGATGTTAGTCTGTCGAGAAGGGCATCTTTACCGTTGCAGTCTGGATATGACTAACCGTCTTGCAGAGCTTTCGCTTTGACTAATCGTATAGGTCTTTAAGAATGTCTCAAAGTTGCTCAATACTTATATCCTACACTATTAAACTTTGCTGATGTTAAATGTTCATTTGGTAGAAATTAGAAATTAACACCTAAACGGACTGCTTGAATTGTAGTCTTTTAACCCTTGCCGGCACAGGCCATTTTGAGTCCTTCGACGGCACAAGGGGGGGGGGGTACGACCCCCCCCTCGCGTTTGGCCCCTGATCGAGCTAGAGCTACCCAGAAAAAACGAGCGTGTTGCCCGTCACGAGAGGAAGCCGATGATACCCAATTTTAAGGTCCTAGGTCATCGGGTGACCTTCCAGGTCAGGTCAATGACCCGAAAACCGGGAAAATCGGGACCTGTTAGAAAGTCGTAAAGTATGGCTGCTATGAGGTTTTCCGGGGTGCTGATCACGAATATCGTGTTAGTTTTGATCACAGATGATGTCTTTAAGCATTTAGACCAGGTCGGGTCAGGTCAGGTCAGGTCAACCGGTAGGGGTTGTGACGGGTATTCGTAATACGTGTCAACCGCCTCGGACAGCTTCGTAACATGTTACGAAGGCACCAAAACTACTTCGTAAATGTTCAAATGGTTGCTAAATTCGAATTCAGCTCCAAAAACTAGCCTAGAAACATGTAAAACTCGAAAAAGTGAACCGAGGTCACCCGAGGTCACCAAAGGTCAATGACCTGACCTGACCTTCAGGTGACCTTTACACCCACCCTAATGCATGGGAGCAACATCAAATCACATGTTTGAACGTTTGAAACCACGAAAAGCTTGCAAACGCGCGGCTAATGCGAGCCAACATGCGCCGAACCGTGATTTCGGCCAAACATGGTCACAGAAAAGAGGTCACAGGTCAAAGGTCATTGGGGTCAGGGTCATGAAATTTTCAGGGTAGGTGTAAAATTGATCAATGCGAAGGTACTGAAAGTTTCGTGGCGATCGGCCGCTTTTTACGCGAGTTATTCGCGAAAAACCTTAGGGGGGTTGCATCAACCCCCCCCCCCCCCTGTGCCGGCGAGGGTTAATGCGCAATGTGGTTTCATCTGGCATTATCAAGACCAAAAAACGTTTAAACGCCTGCGGAGATTGGCCGGGTTGAGCCCTCTGAAATTTTTGCAATCACTAGTACGATCACTGTTTTCTCGTCGATAGTCTACTTTTTTTTTTATTCAGGCCTCCCTCCAACGGGCACTTGTGGCCCATTTACAGGAGGGCTCCTCCTCCTCCTGGCCCTTGTTCCCCCACCCCCCAGGCTACGGCTGAAGTGGGAGCCTACCCCACACCTGGTGACACAGCCGGGGACGACGCCCGCGGAACGGGCGGAACCGGGAATCGAACCCGAATCCGGCACCGCCCGCACCCCGGGTCGACGCCTTAACCGACTGCGCCACCAGGGCCGCCTTGGTGGCGCAGTCGGTTACTGCGCCTACTGCTCAATCTTGCGTTTTTATCAGGACTTTGATCAAGTATTTGCTATAAAGTCGTTCTAACAAGTTCACAGCAGCTGCAAATAGTTCATGTCTATAAAGATCGTCCATCGGTTCGTCTCCAATACGACACACAGTCCACTGGTCAATTATTCCTGGCGCAATCATCACAACGGTCCATGCCCCTGGCCCGGGACCGACCCGTTCAGTGGTCCGGGCCTGGCCCGTCTCTCTTGTACAGCTCTTGGTCCAACCGTCCATTATTTGTGTCCACCCAGTGGCCCCTACCTATGGAGCTGAAGTTTCATGTCTGGCCCGTCCAGTGGCCACTGGTCCAACAACCAGTGGCCCAACAACCATCCAGTGGTCCATCAGTCCAGCGACGCATCTGGTGCAATGGCCCGTGTCTGGTCGGCCTGGCAATATAAGGCAGCAGATGCCACGTTCAGGTAGCTCGCTAATGCGGAACATTTAGAGAAACGCACTTGATAGTGACCTAGTTTCAGATGCCACTTGATATGCATTCGTTAATTAGTGACCTAATTAGCACTGTATGCTCTCGATATGCTACTGTTTAAACGGTTGACATCTTTATTGCCAAGTCGCTGAATCTAGCTTGCATTCATGGTACTGCTTTTTGGTGTGGGCCGAGGTGTGGGCCACTTTATTTCCATCTCAAATGCTTATTTGCTGGTAAACGATGGTACTATGAAGTCACAGGTACTTTTTTAAACTCTGCGGCAATGCCGTCACGGCTGCTCAAAGCCTGCTTTCCCTGATGACCGTGCTCCAGGATGACCAGTGATTGCGTTTGGAGCTTGCTGCTGACCACTTTTTCCTGCGGTTTGACCTGTTTTCTAAAGCATCGCTCATCCTTTTAAATGACCAAAGAAGAGCGCATCACCGTAATCGGTGGTCTGCTATTAGCCAATATCACCGATTGATCCGTATGCCTTATGGAATAAATCTGCCTACTTTTGTCATAAGCACCGCCGACCACGTGGAACAGTTACCACTGCTGTATCGCTAACAAAACGGGCTCATTTTTGTATGGACATAGATTGCTAATGACTATGTGCCTCCCGTGTTTTTTTTTTTTTCAACGAATAACTCGTAAAATCAATAAAAACAAAACGGTCTCCCAAGCTTGCATAAATCATCCAATCCATTTTCAAAGTTGCCTCGACCTTGACTTAATTTATCCGTCAGTGTGCCGTTGATAGTAAACAGCAGTGATTTGCGTGCAGGTTCACCGTACGGAAGCTTTCAGTGAAGCGTCATCGTACATGCACTGTGTGGTAGTTAATTGGTTAATTGTAGTAGTTTGCTGAGTGGTCAGGGACCGCATGTCCTCTGTCGGGATGGGAAAAGCCAGCCGTTCGATATTGGGTCAGGAGAGACCGTCATTAGAGGCCGTGAATGGCCGGTATTGTCCGATACTGGGTTAGGAAACGCTACAGGTGTTCGCTGCTAGACAGGTAACGTCTCAAAAGGGGAGGGAGTAGCCGCTTTTGAGTGCTGTCTGTTACTGTCCGCTGTCACAGTGGGGGTGGGAGAAGCCCCTATCGAGTATTGTCCGGTGTCAGATGGGCACGGTGTACCCCTCTTTCCGCTGCCGGGCGGAGTGGGGGTAGGAGTGGCCGCTGTCTGTTACTGTCCGATCTCCGATGGACGGGGTGTATCCCGCTGTCTGCTGTCCGATGTGCAGGGAGTATCCCACTGTCCGCTGCCGGGCGGAGTGGGGGTGGGAGTGGCCGCCGTCGGTTACTGTCCGCTGTCAGATGTGCGGGGTGTATCCCACCGTCCGCTGCCGGAGTGGGGGTGGGAGTGGCCGCCGCCGTCGGTGGCTGTCCACTGTCCAGCGGACGGGGTGTATCCCGCTGTCCGCTGTCCGATGGGCAGGGAGTATCCTGCTGTCCGCTGCCGGCCGGAGTGGGGGTGGGAGTAGCCGCCGCCGTCGGTGGCTGTCCCAGTTCGCGCGCCTCGGTCGCGCTCGAGCCGGCACTGTGGGACCGACCGAGAGGCCGCCGGCTGACCGGTTCTCCACAGAACGGGAATCTCATTTTCACCCGATGGTCTGTGCTTTCACTGTTGGCGCGCTGGCTCGTCCGGTCACCTCTGGTCGCGACGAGCATAGGCCGGAAATGGTGT